ATTTTGAAGACTCAATTCAGAGATTAATGTTTTTAATGCATCAACATTATTTTTCCTTGTTGAGTGAAAAATGAAATACACGATGTACCTGTTCGGTGCTCTGGGTACTCAAATGTGAATTAGACACTCTGCTTGCTTCACTTCTTACCCTGCTTTTTACATTGTAGCTTAAGAACTTAGGGGTTTAATGGAAAATCATGAATCCTCTCACCTGTATGCAAAATTGTGTGTGTATGTGTGTCTGTGTGTGTGTACCTGTGCTTTTCTGGGAAAACTGTCCATAGATTTCGTTAAGCTTTTAGATATTTTTTTATTTTTTTATTTTAATTTTTTATTTTTTTTTTATTTTTTGACAGGCAGAGTGGACAGTGAGAGAGAGAGACAGAGAGAAAGGTCTTCCTTTGCCGTTGGTTCACCCTCCAATGGCCGCCGCGGCCGGCACGCTGCGGCCGGCGCACCACACTGATCCGATGGCAGGAGCCAGGTGCTTCTCCTGGTCTCCCATGGGGTGCAGGGCCCAAGGACCTGAGCCATCCTCCACTGCACTCCCTGGCCACAGCAGAGAGCTGGCCTGGAAGAGGGGCAACTGGGACAGAATCTGGTGCACCGACTGGGACTAGAACCCAGTGTGCCGGCGCCGCAAGGTGGAGGATTAGCCTAGTGAGCCGCGGCGCCGGCAGATTTTGTTAAGCTTTTAAAAGACTGTAAAGAGGTGGGCATTTGGCACAGCAGTTGAGATGCTGCTTGGGTGCCCGTATACCTTATCAAAGTGCCTGGGTTCCAGTCTTGATTCTGCTTCCAATTCCATCATTGAATTCTGGGCTTCTGACTGCCTGGCTCAGCCCCAGCTGTTGTGGGCATTTGGGGAGTAAATCAGTAGATGGAAGATCTGTCATTGCCTCTTTTCTATCTCTCTGCCTTTCAAATGAACTGAAAATAAATGATTTAAAGACTATAACTGGAAAAAGTGAAGGAGACAGAACAACACATCTGACTATAAGTTAGTTCAATAAATGTTATAATAAGGATAAAAATAAAGATCTTTGGGATAACAGTATAAATATTTAAGACCTACCATGTTCCAGGTCCTACATGGGACTCATATGATACAGGCCTTTGAGGCAAGGTTGCCATGTTCCTTGTATGATACAGTGACTGGTGTGTAGTGACCAAAGGTCCTGGTAGTAATAGATGGATTTATTTTTTTGGTGAAGGTAGTTAATGGGGGGCCTATTGGCAGATTTGTAGGCATGATTTAAGGTATCCAAAAAGGGACAGTGTGTCACCCGTGGCCTGGTAACAGTTGGAAACCTATAAAGGGGCAAGGCTAGAAATCGTGTTCCAATTGAAGGTGTAGAAGAGGAACTCCCCAGCACAAACCGTGGTCAGAGAGAAAAGGCAGTGGAAGAAATGGGGTGCATGAAGTGCCCCATTTTTTTCCTTCTACCCCTTGTTTTTCTATTGATTTTTCCCCTCACTAGTGAAATCAAACTAGAAGCTAGAGGGTACTGGAAATAGAGAACTGGTCTTTAGAGATAAGAGGAGGCAAAGGTACAGAGCAGGGCAGAGGAGTGTGGAGAATGGATCTGTGGTAACAATCGGGAAATCCTAGCAGGGTACTCAGGCGTATTTGTTGAATTAAATTAAAATTTTACTGTTTAACATAAAGTAGCTTTACATTTTACTAGAGTAAAGTGAAAAATGAGCAAATGCTTAATGGCTTAATGTTTTCAGTTAAATGCCTCTAGTCCTTGAAATGAGACTGGAATTGCAGAGGCAGCTGTTTTTCTCATGTATTTTGAATAGTTCAAACAGTAAAAAGGAAGCAATAATTACTAATCTATACAAGTTTGAAATTAGAAAACTCATATTTTTCGAGACTTTGAATTTAAAATGTACATTTTTTAAAATGTGAAAAATTGGGATATTTAATCCAGGGAAGACCAATTCATTTTCTAGTGCCCACCTCAAAAAGCATTTCACTAATAAATCTTAAATTTCAGGATTATAGAATTTTGTACTTTTGTTACATCATTCACAATAGTTTGTTATTCTTCATTGATAATACATACCAAAAGTAGTTCACATTTACTGACTGTCCTAACATGTGCCATGCTGTTATGCTAAATCCCTTACATTTACATATATTCTGTTTTAGCCTCACAGTATCCCAGTAGGGGATGAGGATGCCTTCAGTAGACAAGTTCTACAAATACTTAATAGAATATTAATATTTCTAAATTTCTAATTTCATGATTAGTCTTGAATTTGAGCACCTGTTCATGTTTTAGCCATTTAGCTTGACCACTTTAGGTGCTTAGTTGCCCTCTTTCCAATTGAGTTATCTTTTTGTTATTATTTAAAGATTTATTTACTTGAAAGGCAGAGTTAAAGAGAGGGAGAGAGAGCAAGCAAGATCTTCCATCTGCTGGTTCACTCCCCAAATGACCACCATGGCCAGGACTGGGCAAGGCCAAAGGCAGGAACCTGGAACTCCATTGCATTCCTGTGTGGGTGGCAGGAATCCAACCACTTGGGCCAACATCTGCTGCCTTCCCAGGTGTATTAGCAGGAAGCTGGATTGGAAGTGGAGTAGCCAGGGCTTCAACAGGTGCTCACATGGGATGCCAGTGTTGTGGGCGGCAGCTTAACCTGCTGTGCCACAATCCCAGCCCTGTCTTTTTTATTAATTTGAAGGGATTATGTATATGTCATATAATTGGTTATGTGCCCATTGTTAGATGTTATAAATGACTGAGGACCATTTTGTAGATTCTTCAAGTTGAGGTATTAAGATTTTGGTAGGTTGGGGCCGGTGATGTGGTGTCGTGGGTAAAGCTTCCGCCTACAGTGCCAGCATCCCATCTGGGCACTGGTTCGAGACCCATGTGCTCCACTTCTGATCCAGCTCTCTGCTGTGGCCTGGGAAAGCAGTAGAAGATGGCTCAAGTCCTTGGGTCCCTGCACCCGCATGGGAGACACGGGGGAAGTTCCTGGTTCCTGGCTTCGGATCAGCGCATCTCTGGCCGTTTTGGCCAATGGGGTGTGAACCAGTGGATGGAAGACCTCCCTCCCTCCCTTCCTCCCTTCTTCTTCTTCTTCTTCTTCTTCTTCTTCTTCTTCTTCTTCTTCTCTCTCTCTCTCTCTCTCTCTCTCTGACTCTCCTTCTCTCTCTGTAACTCTGACTTTCAAATAAATAAAACAAATCTTTAAAAAAAAAAGAGTTGGTAGGATTTGGGTAAATAAAGATGAATTTGTGTGGTCAAGTTAAAGTTAGAAGAAAATATAATTCACATGTGTAAGTTGAGTTGTTAGAGGGTCTGTAAAGTAAAATAATGGAAGATAAGACTACAAAGCTCAAAATACATAGAACGAGGGGAACTCTAGAAAATAGTGAAATTGTGTCACTATAGTGCATCTTCTTAAAGTCAGTACTTCCCTGCCTTTTCTGGAATAATTAAGTCTAGACAGTGTGAAAGGAACGAAGACTTTTTACCTCTCTGGGTGGGTAGTAGCTCCAGGCTTTCCCTTCTCTGCCAGAGAATGAATCTTCCTTTACTGAAATTGCCCCAGTGTCATTGTCTGCTGAAAAGCTATGTGAGTAGAGCTGGAACTGAGAGGCAGAAACTGAGATGAATTTTTTTCGTCTGGTCTATAAAAAATTCTAGATTTCTTGGAGAGAGTTGCTGGAAATTAATGGTAGAGCACTTTCCTATAATTGTCCTTTTTCTCCTCATGTTTCTAATTGTCATCATTTTGGAAGATTTGGAGCTTTCATTTCCTAAAAGTTACGTATTCTGTTACAGCATTTGAACTTTTTGGGTTTACTGTCTCTTCAATCTCAGCCTTCATGTTACGATGTCAGCACCAGTGCAAAATGAATTCATTCTATTTCCTAGTGAGATTATTCTAGCTTTTTAAATATCTTTGCTGAATCTTTGGGATTTATGTTACTAGGAATGTTTCTGTAATTTCACTTTTTAATTCTGTATCAGAATTTGTTTTGGCTGCAAGTGCCTACAAACAAAATATAGTGACTTGGGAAGACACAGCTTTTCTCTCACAAAATAGAGGCAGACCAGGGGTGCTAAGGTAACTCTATGATTAAGTCATCTTTCATCTCACCCTTCTTCCGCTTTTATGCAAGAGAGCTGCTCTAGGTGTACTGTGTGCATTCCAGCCAGCAGGAAGGAGGAATGGAAAAGGAGAAGGGTATTTCTCCAGTCCCTTGAAGGACTTCTTCAGAAATTGTACAAACCACTCTGCTTATATCCTGTAAGCCAATGCTTAGTGAACATAGCCATATGTAAGTCCAAGGGGTGTGAAAATACATGTCTGACTAAAAACAATTTCTCTATAGAAGAAAAGAAGAATGGATACTAGGGGATGGACATTGATCTTAGCCACTTACGCCTTGTTCTGTTGTGGCTTAAGTATTTTCCTGAGATGTCTAAGGAGAAAAGTATGGAATATTATGGGTCTATAACCAGTTTTAAATATATATTTTTATCAGAATTAGCTGGTACTTTGGTAGAAAGTACCACTAGAATAGAAGGGTAGGAATTAAATAACTGTCAACTTTATTGATTTTTGTAAGTTTGACTTCTTTAGAATCTTAAATCTATATTTAGAAACATTTATAACAAATGCTGTTGAGTATTGCAAATATAAAATATGTTGGAAATGTACCTTTTTGTAGAAGATAAATATGTTAAACATAGAATTAAAATAATCTATAAAATATTTTAGCAATTGACAATATTTAAGCTTGATTAGAGTGAATTCCGACATATGGTAATAAAGTAAAAATCTAGAATTATTTTAGTTCACTGAAAATTAGCTGATAAAGCAAGTAGCCTGTATAATCCTATAGATGCTAAAATTTTTTTACACAGTACAACTTGAATGTATTATTTAACATATTTACAAACATTAAAAATGACGTACTTTTAAATCCTAGTGTGTAACACTGTAAGTGATAATCATTTTTTCCTCCATAGGCAAGAAGTTTGATAGCTGTAGGATTGGGTGTTGCAGCTCTTGCATTTGCAGGTAAGAAGAATGAAAATTATTTATCAGTGAATTTCCAAACAGATTCTGTAGTCATTCATGAACAGACTTAGTATTTGGTTTCAGGCATTGTTCATTCCCATGCTCTCTGTCATTTGTAGTCTAAATACTTGTCAGCGAAGCAAAATCTACATAAGCTTTATAATGAAGGAAAACTAATAATAAAAAAACTAGGAAAACTAGCCCCGAAAATAGTTGAACTTCCTGGAATATTTTTTTTTTTTCAGTTTGAGCTATAGTATACTATAATAACAGATACTTACTAAGAAGCAATATAAGTGATAGAGTTCTGTGTTCTCCCATGTTTTTCTCGCTGATAGGTTTACACATTTTTTAGGCTTTAAGTTCTTTCTGATAAAACATTAATTGTTCTCTGTAGTGTATTACTTCATCTTTTAACATATTAACCTAACTTTTTTTGATCAACCCAGGAAAACTTCTTTGCCTAAATTACCTTTTCAGAAAGAATAGTTTGCAAAGATGTGAGGTAAAATTGCCATGTGATTCAGTTACTAATTTATAGTTTTAAATTACACAGGCATTCGGCCGGCGCCGCGGCTCACTAGGCTAATCCTCCGCCTAGCGGTGCCGGCACACCGGGTTCTAGTCCCGGTCGGGGCGCCGGATTCTGTCCCGGTTGCCCCTCTTCCAGGCCAGCCCTCTGCTGTGGCCTGGGAGTGCAGTGGAGGATGGCCCAGGTGCTTGGGCCCTGCACCCCATGGGAGACCAGGAAAAGCACCTGGCTCCTGGCTCCTGCCATCGGATCAGCGCGGTGTGCCGGCCGCAGCGTGCCGGCCGCGGCGGCCATTGGAGGGTGAACCAACGGCAAAGGAAGACCTTTCTCTCTGTCTCTCTCTCTCACTGTCCACTCTGCCTGTCAAAAAATAAAAAAATAAATAAAAATAAAAAATTACACAGGCATTCCCTAATTAATTTTTTTTTTAAAAAAGGATTTATTTATTTGTTTGAAAGGCAGAGTTACAGTAAGGCAGAGAGAGAGAGAGAGAGAGAGATCGATCGATCGATCGATCGATCTTCCATCTGCTGGTACACTCCCCAAATGGCTGCAACGGCTGAGCTAAGCCTACCTGAAACAAGGAGCTTCTTCCAGGTCTCCCACGTGGGTGCTGGGGCCCTGGGACTTAGGCTATCTTCTGCTTTCCCAGGCCATAACAGAGAGCTGGATCGGAAGTAGAACAGCCGGGTCTCGAACTGGCGTCCATAGGGGATGCTGGTGCTTCAGGCCAAGGCGTTAACCTGCTGTGCCACAGCGCCAGCCCCAGCCCCAGTTAACTGATTTCTAAGATTTCATGATGAAAGTATGTTTTCTCAAAAGGAATTCTAACAAACTTGCCCATAATCATTAAAAAAAATTTATTATGGTAATTAATAGACATAGTTATTACAAATTTTAATGATTTTCATTGAAATTAGAGAAAGATGTACTTTTCCAGCGTTGTCTTTTTTAAAAGGACAAGAATTGGTATGGATAGTCAGTACAGATCACAGTGTTACCAAAGTCATTACTCACTAAAATAGCAGATCTCTGCCAGAGCCAACTACAATTGAGTAATAGAATTTAAGAGAAAGTACTCTGAGTTGTTGGAACTAGGTCTTCCGGTTTATAGTTAAAGTAAACCTAGGTGTTTTTTGAAGCCTAAAACTAGTTTTTCACTGAGACAGGAAGCCAGTCACTGTCCCTGATTATGATTTTGAAGAATATTGGGGTAAATTAAATCTACATTTTTATAATTACGGAATCAAATAGAAGGTGACATGTATGTGATAAGAGATCTGAGTTAGGAGAATGTACCTCACTTAGGTTCACTTTATTTAATGTTCTACTGGATCCCAAGAGCTTTTTGTCTCATACTTAGGTTGGCAACTTGACATTTTCTCATTTCTAGCATCCTGTCCTTCACTGTAACGTGTTGTCTGTACAGGAATAAGGATATATTTAGGCAGGTAGCTTTTCTAAAAGATCTAAATAGTTGAACTTGCCCAGTGGTACTCTTGATTTGCAAATATACTTTCTAGTGAATTAGAGTTTCTGGTTCATGGTGCTCAGCCTCTGCCTGTGACTTTAGCATCCCATGTGGGCGCCAGGTCAAGACCCAGCTACTCTACTTCCTTTCCAGCTCCCTGCTAATGCACTTGGGATAGCAGTGGGAGATGGCCCAAGTCCTCAGACCCCTACACTCACGTGGGAGACTGCGAAAAAGTTCTAGGCTCCTAGCTTCGGCCTGGTCCAGCCCTGGCTGTTGCAGCCGTTTGGGGAATGAACCAGCGGATAGAAGATTTTCTCTCTCTCTGTCTGATTCTTCTCTCTCTTTAACTCTGCCTTTCAAATAAATTTAAAAAATAGCTTCCAGTTCATGTGCTGTTTTCTAGGAAGACTTTTAGAGGAAGAAACAAAGAAGACACACATTTCCGATTAGGGTAAAAAAGTAAATTTGCTAGGTAATATTTTATTCTTACTTGATGCTCTGAAAATAATGTAAGACCTGTTTTGCTATTGAGTTTTAGTTTTCAAAGAAGTTTTGATTATTAGGATGCCTTAGAAAGGAAAGAATTAAAAGTAAATTTTTAGAGAGAGTAGCCATCCTCAGTGAGAAAGATGAATAATTAACATCCTTGATGAATATCTTGTACATAGCTGCTTTTTTTTAACTTTACCTTCATTAAAAGCACTCCTAGTTTCTGTAGACCATAAGCAGTATTATAGTGATACTTATTAGGAAAAAGCAATACAATTAATCATTTTAGTATCTTGAGTACCTTTTAAACATAAAGGAATTTTATCTACAGATTGTTGTTAAAAAATACCAAGATGTTATTTTTTGTGATCCATAACATCATATAAATATGTATAAATACTGAAATTCTAATTATATAATTGTAAACTAGAACTTGATAAATTTAATGTATATGATAATAGTAAATGAAATTCTGTTCAATAGTTAGAAATAAGACTTTCTGGTGAATTTTGAAGTATTTATTGAAATGACATATTATAAACTATCAAAATACTATAGTAAGCATCTTGAAGGTGTTTATTGACTTTGATTATAAAACATGTTTGCTCTTATTCCTTTCACTATTCAGGTCGCTATGCATTTCAGATCTGGAAACCTTTAGAACAAGTAATCACAGAAGCAACAAGAAAGATTTCAACTCCTGTAAGTGAAATGTGGCTTTAATTGGAAAACTCGTGTTGATTTTTGTATGTCATATTGAAAAGTAATTCAAAAAATGTCTTAGATTTTCCAACTTTCTTAAAATTTAACTTCATTGCATCATTGGTGCGTTTGTCTCATTTATTGATTTAGTTTAAGGTTCTTGGTCATGTTATTTTTATATCCAATCTTATTTGTGTTGATTGTCCTTATGCTTCATTTAGTACTTTTATGTCAACTTTTAGGTAATTTATTTTGTATAATTACTGTCAATATATCAGTCCCTATGCCAAAATAGTTGAACAAAACAGATATTCCTGCACTGATGGAGTTTACTCAAGAGTTTATTTCATCTTGAAATTTTAAAGTAGTCCACTTGTTCCACCACACCTGGCCATCTCTAGCATAAAATTACAAGGTTCCAAACGTGGAAACCTGTTGGGCTTACAGACTCATCTACCAGCATTGTGGCGGCTCTGGAGTATCTAAAAATGTACAGAGTGAATTGTGGTTAGTGACCACTGCAGACAATACAAAGAAAACTCACTGAAGTACTGCAGCATAAACTGATTTCTGGGAAACAGAAGCAGATCTGAGTAGATCAGCTTGGCTTGCAGCAATTTGGGAATGAATGGCTTATTTGAGCAAAGGTCTTAGAGGCTTGTGAGGCTTAGTTAGCCATGAATGATGACAGCACTTTCAAAGGATGGCACACTGAGAAATAAACCCAGCTTCAAAAGAACTGCAGGTGATTTTGTAGACCTGTAAATGCATGTCTGTATTTAGAAGATGATATGTTTATTTTTTGTTTGGCTATTTCTAACTTTTGATAATGTATTAATATGTATTCAGTATTCATCTAGTAAATAGGAAGGTACTTCAGAAAGTTAGTGTCAAGTGAAACTAAAAGATACATTTCTTTTAGTGCAGAAAAATTTGAAATGCATGCATGTGAGGGATTTTCAGAAAGTTCATGAGGAACCAGTGTTGTGGCACCTTGGGTTAAGCTACCACTTGCAATGCCAGCATCCCATATCAGAATGCCAATTTCAGTCCCAGCTGATCTGCTCTGATACAGCTCCCTGCTATTTTGCCTGGGAATGAAGGAGAGTGATGCCAAATATTTAGGACTCTGCCACCCATGTGGCAGACCCAGATGGAGTTCCTGGCTCCTGGCCTCAGCATGGCCCAGCCATGTTGCTACCCACTTTGGGGGTTAACCAATAGATGGAAGATATCTTTCTTGGTGTCTGTTTCTCTTTCTCACTCTCACTCTCACTCTCTTCTCTCTCTCTCTCTGCCTTTCAAATTTTTAAAAGTTCATGGAAAATGCACATTAGGAAAAAACTATTTATGACTTTCAATTTTATTTCCCACCAAAACAGTTTTTAATCCCATTTTCTCACCAACTTTTCACAGTATACTTGTATCGTTGAGCACCTGCAGTATGCTAGTCATTATTGTAGGCAGTGTGTACAGCCATGGAGCTGATAGGAGGCTGTATTTTAGTGACATCAAAATAAACAAAATAAAATGGTTAGCTACACAAGTTGAGTGCTTTTAAGAAAACCACATCAGGGTAAAAAGTTAAAGAATAATAGCAGAAGGAGTCTTTAAATTAGATGGGTCAGGTAAGGCCTCCCTGATAAGAGGGGGGAACAGGTCTTGTGGGCATCTGAAGAGATTTCTATGTGGTAGCAACTGCAAAGGTCCTGAGTTAGCAATAGCTTTGTGGCAAGAATAACTTCATTGGAATCTACGAAGGGAGTAGTGGTAGCTTGAGCCCAAATACTGTAATGCCTAATAGACCAAGGAAAACACCTTAGGATTTTACGGTAAGTGTGGTGGAATGCCTTTGAGCATGGGGACATTGTGATGTGCCTTTTAGGTTATCCGCATGCCTGCTTGTGGCACAGCTGAGCTCAAGTTCTGAGAAGGCTTGCGTATGTTTGCCAGTTCTAAAGAAGTCACCTAGGGATCCTATTGGGTTCATTTTACACGTGGGAGTGACTGATGGCTACCCCAGGTCGGTAATCTGCACCTTGTCAGAGTGCACATCATTAAATGGCAAGCAGTAAACAAGCATAGTTGATGTATTGTCAAAGCAACCTCGTGTGTTCCCTAGTGTTCTCCAAAAACAAGGCTATCAGTTCAAGGACACAAGCCTTTCCCCACATGCATTCTTAAAGGTATTTACCTTGGGGCAGAAGGCTATCCTGGAGGTCACCACCCCCAACCACATACCATCCACCCACTACAGCACATGGAATGCTCTATTCTCACAGTTAGGAGTCTTCCACACACTGCTGCATGTTTCCTAGAGTTAGCTGAAGTAGAAATTGTGAAAGCAGTTAGTGTATTGAGATAGTGATAGATGATGATGGCTCTACATAGAGTGATAGTAATGGTCACAGTACATGGTCCTTTAAAGGAATACTGTTAATGTCTTTTCATGTATTTATAAATAAGTAGAGAGAATTTCAGAAATAATTCCTCTTCTGGTAATCTTTGGTAGATATATGCATACCATAAATAGAAAACTCCAAGTTTTGTAGACTACATTATTTAACTTTGTAAAGGAAGATAGAACAAGAAGATGAGACAATTGTCAATGCCAGGTAGTCGCACAGATAGAAGAATGCAGTTCAAGAGATTCTGATAGTTATACTGAGTATGGTGTCTGCTTTCGTTAAGGAGATCTTTACAACAACAACAAAAGTGCATCTCCACTAAACAGCACTCTGGCCTCAGAATCAGCCGTTAAGGCATTTGGATCTGGCTGAAGAGCCCATGAGAGTATTTCAGGCACGGAAAGCCAAGACACTCTGGCAAAAAAAAAAAAAAAAAAAAAAAGGAGGAGGACCTAAATGAAAGATCTCTGCGAGTGAGATCCCAGTGGAAAGAACAGGTCATCAAAGAAGGAGATACCTTCCTCTGAAGGGAGGAGAGAACTTCCACTTTGACTATGACCTTGTCTAAATAAGATCAGAGTTGTTGAACTCAAAAGGCCTCCATAGCCTTGGCAACTCATGACAAGAGCCTAGGGTGATTACTGATGCCATAAACAAGAGTGTCAATTTGTTAAGTCAACAACAGGAGTCACTGTGCACTTACTCCTCATGTAGGATCTCTGTCCTTAATGTGTTATACATTGTGAATTAATGCTATAACTAGTACTCAAACAGTATTTTTCACTTTATGTTTCTGTGTGGGTGCAAACTGTTGAAATCTTTACTTAATGTATGCTAAACTGATCTTCTGTATATAAAGAGAATTGAAAATGAATCTTGATGTGAATGGAAGGGGAGAGGGAGCGGGAGAGGGGAGGGTTGCGGGTGGGAGGGAAGTTATGGGGAGGGAAAGCCATTGTAATCCATAAGCTGTACTTTGGAAATTTATATTCATTAAATAAAAGCTTTAAAAAAAGTGGAGAATGAGACTGGGAATGGGAGAGGGCTGGGAGGGCAGTATGGTACAAAGAATTACTACATTCCTAAAGTTGTACTTATGAAATGCATGAAGTTTGTATTCCTTAAATAAAAGGTTTCCTTGAGAAAAAAAAAATAAAGGGAAACTAAAAAATAAAAAGGACAGAGACAAGACTCAGGGCTTTACCCCTCTCCAAAAAAGTTAGCAGTAATTAGACATTAGCTAAATCCATTAGCTGTTTTCTTCTTGGTTTCCTGAGAATGGTTTCTTCTTTCCTGGTGTTTAGGGGTTGCTGTGAATTTTCTGAATGTACCATCTTGTGTGATGTTCTGTATTCCAAATTTCTATAAATGTTTCAGTTCACTATTTGTCCCATTTCTTGTTTTCTGGTGTTATGGATTTTTCTTGTCAAATTTTTTTCTCATTTGAAAAGCAATTTGCAAAGCTAACCACCTTTGTGATTTTCAGTCTGCTCTTTTGAGTGAATGCCCCTTTACATGCATTTCAATGTATATGATGGATTCAGCTAATGTCTACTTACTGCTGACTTTTGTGGAGAGGGGTAAAGCCCTGAGTCTCGTCTCTGTCCTGATACTAAAAGGGATACTAAAAGGGATAAAGTATGTAGTTGTATATCAACAGTCAGGACAAGAGCTGATCAAGTCACTGTTTCTCATAGTGTCCATTTTACTTCAACAGGTTTCCCCTTTGGTGCTCAGTTAGTTGTCGACGATCAGGGAGACTATATGATATTTGTCCCTTTGGGACTGGCTTAGTTCACTCAGCATGATGTTTTCCAGATTCCTCCATCTTGTTGCAAATGACCGGGTTTCATTGTTTTTGACTGCTGTATAGTATTCTATAGAGTACATGTCCCATAATTTCTTTATCTAGTCTATTGTTGATGGGCATTTGGGTTGGTTCCAGGTCTTAGCTATTGTGAATTGAGCTGCAATAAACATTAATATGCAGACTGCTTTTTTGTTTGCCAATTTAATTTCCTTTGGGTAAATTCCAAGGAGTGAGATGGCTGGGTTGTATGGTAGGGTTATATTCAGGTTTCTGAGGAATCTCCAGACTGACTTCCATAGTGGCTTGACCAGTTTGCATTCCCACCAACAGTGGGTTAGTGTCCCTTTTTCCCCACATCCTCTCCAGCATCTTTTGTTGGTAGATTTCTGAATGTGAGCCATTCTCACTGGGGTGAGGTGAAACCTCATTGTGGTTTTGATTTGCATTTCCCTGATGGCTAGTGATCTTGAACACTTTTTCATGTGTCTGTTGACCCTTTGGATTTCCTCTTTTGAAAAATGTCTATTGAGGTCCTTGGCCCATCTCTTAAGTGGGTTGTTTGTTTTGATGTTGTGGAGTTTCTTGATTTCTTTGTAGATTCTGGTTATCAACCCTTTATCAGTTGAATAGTTTGCAAATATTTTTTCCCATTCTGTCGGTTGCCTTTTCACTCTCCTGTTTCTTTTGCAGTACAGAAACTTCTCAATTTGATGCAATACCAATAGTTAATTTTGGCTTTGACTGCTTGTGCCTCTGGGGTCTTTTCCAAGAAGTCTTTGCCG